TTGCCAACAAACTGTTATTTCTGAATGCGCTGATGCTGGGATTTTGATGATATGAAGCTAACTTATTTGTTGATGGTGTACTACGTGCCTAAAGCACTCTCTCAATTCAATTATCTCATTTTTGGCGGAAGTGGTGTTTAGCAGTCTTTGCATCTGAACTCCTCATACGTAAATCTTATAAATCATTTTTATAGAGCATATTTAAAATACCAAATAAAGTGCTATTTACAAATATTACATCAAAATCAATCCAATTCAGAGTTTTGTTTTCAACACAAAATAAATGTGAATGTTTGTCTGAGTATTCTTTCTGTTATGGCATGGCTCACTGATGCAACACATGCAGGAATACGTACATATATAAACCAACATAAACAACTGATATAGATGACACTTGCTATGAAAGAACAGATGCTCATGGGAATCGAGCCCTCGGAGAGCGATCAGAGGACAACACGCTCACAGGTGAGAGCACGGGGGAAAGAGAAAACCATCTAATTTTAGAAATGCAAAAAAACACTGCTCACACACACCTACACATGCTAGTTTCACTTCAAGACAACAAAATTCAAGCTTTCCGACATTATTGACCATCAAAGTTTTGCCAAAAGCAATGTGTACGTTTCATTCAGTACAAAAAGGTTACGAAAATGCCACAAAATGCAAGCAATCATACTAATAATAACCATGCATACACTGTAAAGCATGCCTGTTGATGTTCCCATATTTTCTGTTTATTAACGTTATTTATGTTTATTGTGAATTGCATTATAGGATGTTGATCTCTGCCGACTTTTGATGTTGAAATTTCGACTCTGCAGTTTAACAAAGTGACTTTTATTTGCATTAGTAGTTTGAGATAATAATGTATAAGAAATAATATCTAGAGAAACAAGTCTGTAAAATAACAGAAAATGCTCTGGGGGTTTATTGCAAGGGTTTTGTAGAGTAATATACACTAATATAATAATATACAACAACTAGGGCTGCACGATTTTAGAAAAATCTGATATTTTCTTTTTTTGCTGTAATATTGCGATATACAGTTTTACAAGATGGTTTGAATTTTCAATTTGACTTTTCCTAGGGAGTCCAACAAATATTTAGGTACAGAAATTGAGTAATCGCAGTGCATATTACTTATGGTTGCCTTGTCTCCAATCCAAATATCTAAAAAATATATAGATTTCTTCTTTATTATCATAAATAATGAGTCAAAATTAAGTGAGATTTTCCTTAAAAAGCTAAATAATCTGCCAGTGTGGTAAGCAATCTTTTTGATGTTTGAAGTGCAGATATTTGGACATGAAACAATACCAAAAAGAAACACATTTTTGTAAATGTAAATGAACACTACAGTATATCATCTTCATTGTATAAATAATTAAATGCCATTAATCTTTGTAACACCTCCAAAAGTCATCATTTGTTGTGCCCAAATGTTTTAAACTCTCAGTCACAGGCCTTAAAAACACATGTAAGTGATAAATCTTCACTTTATTATGGTTAATCTTAGCAGTGACTCTAAAAATGCTGTGTTTTGTGGCACCTGCTTGACTATAATCCAGACTCAACACTGTAAATCCTACGCTTTGATTATTGCAGATGCGCAACTTGCGATATCGATGCTGAAACAAAACATTGTGGAGCCCTTACACCAACCCAGACAATACATCACTTTAAACTATTAAATATGTTCATAAAAGTCACTTTTTTAAACTTGTCAAGGTTAAAAGTTATTGGAAGAAAGATCAAGCTCCCATAATGCAATTTAAAACCATAAAGAAAATGGGGAAATAATAAAAATATGAACCACAAAATACAAAAATCTGCTCAACTCTGTAAAATAACAGAAAATGTACTGACAGTATACTACCAGGTTCTTGTACCGTAATACACAACATCAAATAGGACTGAAAGCTATTGTATAAATCTGACATTGGGATATATATTTTTTTTTTGATAATATTGCGATATTCAGTTTCAGCAGATGGTTTAAATTCTATTTGACTTTTTCTAACAAGTATTTAAGTACAGAAATTGAGTAATCACAATGCAAATTACCTAAAGTTGCTTTGCCTCTAATATAAATATCCAAAAAAATATAGATTTCTACTTCATTTTCAGAAATAATGAGTCAAAATGAAGTGAGATTTTGCTTAAATTAAGCTAAATAATCTGTGGTGAGCAAAATAATCTTGTTTTAGGCTTGAAGTGCAGATATTTGGACATGAAATAATACAAACAATCTTAGAAACACATTTTTGTAAATGTAAATGAACACTACAGTATATCATCTTCATGTTATAAATATTTAAATGCCATTAATCTTTGTTACACCTCCAAAAGTCATCATTTGTTGTGCCCAAATGTTTTAAACTCTCCGTCACAGGCCTTAAAAACACATGTAAATGTAAAATCTTCACTTTATGATGGTTAATCTTAGCAGCGACTCAAAAAATGCTGTGTTTTGTGGCACCTGCTCGACTATAATCCAGACTCAACACTGTATATCCTGCGATGTGATTATTGCGGATGCGCACACTACAATATCAACGCTGAAACAATACATTGTGCGGACCTAACACAAACCCAGACAATATATCACTTTAAACTATTAAAGATGTTCATAAACCTCATCTTTTTCAAACTTGTCAAGGTTTAAAGTCATTGAAAGAAAGATTAAGCTCCCATAATGCAATTCAAATGCATGAAGAAATGGGGAAATAAAAAAAAACATGAACCACAAAATACAAAAATCTGCTCAAGTCTGTAAAATAACAGAAAATGTACTGACAGTATACTACCAGGTTCTTGTACCGTAATACACAACGCCAACTAGGACTGCAAGCTATTGTATAAATCTGACATTGGGATATTTAATTTTCTTTTGCGATATTTAGTTACAGCAGATGGTTTAAATTCTATTTGACTTTTTCTAGAGAGTCCAACAAGTATTTAAGTACAGAAATTAAGCAATCACAATGCAAATTACCTAAGGTTGCCTTGTCTCTAGTCCCAATATCTAAAAAAATATAGATTTCTTCATCACTTTCAGAAATAATGAGCCGAAATCATGTGTGATTTTCCTTAAATCAAGCTAAATAATTTACGGTGAGCAAAATAATCTTGTTTTAGGCTTGAAGTGCAGATATTTGGACATGAAACCATACAAACAAAATCTAAGAAACACATTTTTGTAAATGTAAATGAACACTACAGTATATCATCTTGATTTTATAATTATTTAAATGCCATTATCATTTGTTAAGCCTCCAAAAGTCATCATTTGTTGTGCCCAAATGTTTTAAACTCTCCGTCACAGGCCTTAAAAACACATGTAAATGACAAACCTTTACTTTATTATGGTTAATCTTAGCAGTAAGTCTAAAAATGCTGTGTTTTGTGGCACCTGCTCGACTATAATCCAATCTTGACACTGTATATCTTGCGATGTGATTATTGCGATATATTGGGATATCGATGCTGAAGCAATACATTGTGCGGCCCTAACACCAACCAAGATAATACATCACTTTAAACTCTTAAACATGTTCATAAAAGTCACTTTTTCAAACTTTTCATAGTTAAATGTTCATGGAAAAAGGATTAATCTCCCTTAATTAAATTCAAACGCATAAATAAATGTAGAAATAACAAAAAATGAATCCCAAAATATCGAAAATCTGCTCATTTACTGATATTGTTCACGCTATACCTGTAAAGCGAGCAACAAATGTCATTTTAAGGCAAATGCAACAGTATTAAGGGATCACACACACATTACGACTGTATTATCTTATCCTTTCAAACGCTCTCTCTTCTCCTGCATTATATCCCTGCCACGCTAATCTGCTTTGACTGGGTGAAACCCTCAAATGTGATTACTTTCCAACAGATAACAAAGGGGAAAAACCCCTATCTATGGCACAGCATGGAGCATGAATTAAAGCTACACTATGGCCTTAAGGACTCCATAAATCCAATGCTAAAGAGGGACTGGAGCTACTGAGAGAGCAGGGCCACCTACTGGGGCTGTTTATATTGCATGAGTGGGTTTTAATTGCAGAAAGTGCTGTAGAAACTCTTACAATGTGGAGGACACTCTCTCAAGATAAGTCACAGGTTTGTGAGATATTTATTTGTGCATGCTTACTTCATATAAGTGTGTGATGATGCAACTACGATTATGTGAACTACGAACACTAAAAGTGCTGAAAGTTGCTTGAAGGTGTTTCTAGAAAAACAACGGTGCATGAGGTTATCTGTATTGCTGTTTCCAAAAGAAGAAATATTTTACTAATTTAGATTTGTATTGATTTCAGTGATGATTTTGCTGAACATGTACCCTAAAAAATAAGGGTACATTGCATTTACTTCATGTTTTCTAAAGTAAGTGCTTGCAAACAATTTATATGGGCCGAATTTGACAAGCTAATTAAGTTAAACATTAGTAAATTTGATTTGTTTGTCATATACATTGTTTGCAAGCACTTGCAGTGGCTTGAAACTATAGTAAATCCAGTTAAACAATTGGTTTAAAAGCCACAAAAGTCCAACACATGCATGTTGTCTGCATTAATACTATCTTTTAAACTAAATATTACCATACAGATGTGTGTTAACAATCACAGCAAATAATGTATAGCTTATTTAAATACTTCAGATATTCTAATACTGAGACAAATTTCTCAAACACACACTTCAATTGAATGTAACACGAATAAAGGCGACTTTCTATGAACATGCCAGCTAGACGACCTCCTGCTGTCGATATATCCACACACGCTCAACGCAACTGTGCTGGGGAAAGTTTTCAAGGACCAAGCCATCAATTCCCTTCTGAATTATTGACCTCAGACTTCCTCATTCATCATAGGCTACTCCACGCATGTAAAACATCAGCAAATTCCTTCCCCAATAATGATCGATGCGACTTTAAGGCACAGCGGCATGTAAAGCAGGCAGAGTTGCTGGTGATGTTGGCACCTCGTACTCACCTGATATCTCCTGATGTGGCACATTATGGAGACTGAAGCCTTTGGTGGTGAACGCCAGGCGCACATCGCTGCAGCTGCGCGATTTTACATCTCCAGCACATGACAGCGACAGCAGAAGCGATAAAGAAGTAAAAACCACGACAGGTGTCTTCACCATCCCTCCTGCGCGCAAATCCAGCCGATGCGTAAAAGCGCAAAACCCCGCAAGACGCGCTCAGCGCACCGGCGTCTCCAGCTGCAGGTGGACAAATGTTTCAATCATTCAATCGCTGATTTGAATGGTCAGTCAGGCGTGCTGTGGCGTCCGGTTCATAGCAGGATTCACCAGCGGAACGAGCGCGTGCGCGGTTTGGACGGAGACACCGACAGAATAGATCCGGAGCGGCGCGCTCTCAACTTCTGCTCTGTGTTTCTATCAGCAGAGAGAAAGTAGCAAATCCTCCCTCTCTCTCTCTCTCGCT